GCAGCGGTAGTGAGGTTGGCCCAGGATCGGACATTGTTTCGTTCTCCTGTGCATGGGGTCGCTATGAGTCGGTTCTGACTCGATGGCACCTAACAACAACAACAACAACAACAACAGGATACCAAGAGACTCCACTCTGAGATGTCCACCAGTGAAGAGAGAAAAGGGCCACGAAGACATGGGCCTTCCATCTGGGATGACCGGGATGTAGCTGGGCCCAGTGGATACTTGCAAGGTCCTGTGAGGATAAGGGGAGATGTCCTTGTCCTCCATGGGGCCACCCAGGAGGGCGATGAACATTGGGATGCAGGCCTGAAGTGCTGGACAGCCCTCTCCAAGGAGAGACCAGGAAGCACACTGTCAACCCAACCAAAACGGCCCCTAGAGTCTGGAAGCCTTGGCGGTTGCTGGGCAGTGCAGGGAGGGAGCCCTCCTGGGGACATCTTGGAGGTTGGTATGTTCCAGCTAGGCAGGTCCTGAGATGCACAATACTACTTGTTTCCCCCTCATTCAGTGCTCCCCCCAGCTGCCACACAGCTGAACTAGAACATTCTCTGTGGTGGGAGAATCCTGGGCCCCTGGCCCCCACTCAATGCCAGTAATAACACCCGCCCCCCTCGCATTTGTGACAAGCACAAATGTCACCCACAGTGCACACTCTGCCTGTGAATATATATTTTTCTGCTGCTGGGCCAGGGCCCTCGGTGTCAGAGGGTGTGGCATGGATCACCTTCCTTAGCTGTGCCCTGCCCTCCCCCCCAGGCCAGCCCCTGCTTACCCTCGGACCACCGGTAAGTGAAGGCAGGATCTAGGGTCTGCACAGCCGTCTCCTTCACAACCACTCTGGTCACTTCCTGATCCCACTTTCTGCTGCCCTTGGTCGTTTGTGGGGGACGGTTTCTTTCCCAACTTGAGGATTCTGACAAGGTCTCCGACGTTCTGTCGAGAGACACCTGGGAGGAGCCTGTGGTCTCAGAGGCGGTCAGGACTGGGGAGGCCTCGAAGTCTTCTGAGTAGGCTAAGCTCTCAGTGGGGAGGCTCTGCTGGCCTTCCCAGGATGCTGAGCTTTCTGAGCTTGCAGGGGCAACTTGGGATGGCGGGGGGCTGCTGGGGGTACTGCTGGTCGTACTCAGACGTTCCGAGACCTCGCTCTCGGTGAGGGGGCCTTGCTTACTGTCTAAGAGCACTGCGCTCGAGGCCCGGGTACATGTGGGCCACCCCTGCTGGGCAGTCCCTTCTGCCTGTGAGCTGGGATGGGATGGCTGTACCCAGCGAGCACCTTCTCCCTGAAACATAGAAGGGCAAAAGTAATAGAAGTGTTCTGTATGAGCTCAAAGTATGACTGCTGGCTCCTGAGGGGAGAGGGCATGGACCCCCTTTGAGGCGTGGGCAGCAGGTGTTACCTATGGACAGACCACACATGGATAAGGCTTACTACAGTTTCATCACTTGTTACCAGAGCCTGCACTCCAGGACGCAGGTGGCCACAGTGTGAGGAGCGCATGAGCAGCCAATCCTGCAGCACCTAAGTAGGCGTTTCTCCCGCTCACACTGCTGACATTCAGGGTGGGATCCTTCTCTGGGGAGGGGCCCGTGACTGCAGAGCTGCAGCCCAGACTTCCAGCCCTCAATACCAGCAGTGCCCTCTAGTGGTGACAACCAAGAATGCCTCCAGAAGCCACCAAGCTCCCTGGGGACAAAACCACATCCAGTTGAGACCCACTGGAGAAAAGAGAAAGGAACCCTGAGAGTGCAACAGGTTACAAGTGCTTGGCTACTAACCAAAAGGTTGGCAGTTCGAACCCACCACCACTCCAAGAGAGAAAGATGTGGCAGTCTGTTTATACAAGCATAGGGTCAGAATTAGTGGGTTTGAGTATGAGAGTGGGTGGGTAGGTAGGTAGGCCGGTAGATAGATAGGTGGGTAGATGGACGCATGGATGGACAGTAGACACAGGTAACACACAGACAGGGTCTCTCATGGTAAGGCAATTTCTCAGCCTCGATGCTGTTCCTCTTTGGTTCCAGATCATTCTCTGTGTACTGTAGGGTGTTGAGTAGCCTACACCCATCAGAAACCAGTAGCACCCTCTTCCAGTTGTGGCAACTAAGACTGACTCCGGACATGGCCCAGTGGACCCCCTGGCTGGAGGAAGGAAGACCGTTGCAGGCATTTCTCCGTGACCACCCACCACTGTGACTTCATCATACTCACTTCCTCTTCCAGGTCTGACTTCTCACACATGGCTGGAGCCAAGTCCTCGAGGGACAGGATGTGGAGTCTGAAATCTGCGATGAGAAAGAAACCAAGTATGTGGATTCCGTTGGTGACCCTTGAGCGGCAGGCATGGGGGAGGAACAACAGGCCTGTGTTTCATGAGCTGGCTGAGGCATGCTTTCCCTGTACTGGACCAGAGGGTCAAGGTGTTCAGGCCATCTCTGTCCCTACCCTGGACCCTACACAACCTGTGCAACCACTGCATAGCCATCATGAACAGGTGTGGCTGTCTGTTGATAGAACGTTATTGACACAAACAGGTGGCAGGCCTACAGGCCCCGGCCCAGGCCAAGGGTCGCAGAGGCTGTGGGAAGTGTGGTGATAAGTGTCTGAGGCATCGGCCTGACTGTGGGCTGGGGCTGCCCCTGTGGGGTAGGGGAGGAAGTGGGTAGAGTATGATCTTGGCTCCCCAACTCCTCTCATTGTTTGTAGCTGTTGTGGAGTCCATTTCAACTCATGGGGACCCCGATTTACGGCAGAGAGTAGAACTGCACCTCACGTAGCAGCCCTGTATAGGGTTTCCGAGGTGGATTAGAACCACTGACCTTGCGGTTCAAACCAACTTTGCAGTCCAGTGCATTATTCCACAGCACCACACCAGAATTCCAACATCATGATAAATGGAGAAAAGATAGAAGTTGTCCAGGATTTCATTTTGCTTGGATCCACCATTAACACTCATGGAAGCAGCAGTCAAGAAATCAAATGACGTACTGCATTAGGCAAATCTGCGGCAAAAGACCTCTTTAAAGTGTTGGAGAGCAAAGATGTCACTTTGAGAACGAAGGTGCACCTGAGCCAAGCCACAGTATTTTCAATTGCCTCATATGCATGTGAAAGTTGGACAATGAATAAGGAAAACCATAGAAAAACTGATGAATTTGGGTTATGGTATTGGAGAAGAATATTGAGAGTGCCATGGAACTTTCAAATGAACAAACAAATCTGTCTTGGAAGAAGCACAGCCACAACGCTCCTTAGAAGCCAGGAGGGCTAGACTTCGTCTCTCAGACATTAGACATGCCATAGGAGGGACCAGTCCCTGGTGAAGGATATCATGCTTGGTAAAGTGGAGGGTCAGCAAAAAAAAAGGGGAAGACCTCCAACAAGATGGAAAGGCACAGTGGCGGAAACAGTGGGTTCAAGCATAATACCAATTGTGAGGATGGCCCAGGGCCGGGCAGTGTTTCGTTCTGTTGTGCACTGGGTCGCTGTGAGTCAGCACCGACTTGATGGCACCAGTCTGCTACCATAGAGATTAGAGGCTTAGAAGGCCGGTGGGAAGGTTCTACACTGTCCTGTCAAGTCACTAGGAGTTGGAATCCACCCAGAAGCAAACAAAAATCTTCACAGAAGCAGATTGCAAGGCCTTTCTCCCACAGACCCTCTGGGTGGGTTCGAACCACCAACCTTTTAGTCAGTAGTGAAGCATTTCACCATTTACAGGACTAATGTTCCTTAGGTAGAAATACTGAATAATGTTGACCTAATAAGGAATATTTTCTTCTTTACTGGTTAGAGCGTTGTATTTCTTTTTCTGGGTTAAAAAAAAGGGGGGCAAGTTTCTCTTTTATTATAAGAAAAATGGACGACGGTTGTTTTTCAGATTACAAAAAAAAAAAAAAAAAATCCAAAGCCAAAAGAGTGGGTTCCAATTCCTGATTCCCAGGTGTGTTTTTAGGGTTGTGACCTTTTGGAAGCAGTTCACCAGGCCTGACTCCTGAGCAGCCTCTGGGTGGGATTGAACCACCCACCTTAAGACCAGCAATTGAGCACTTAACCATTTAAGCCACTGTCTTTCTGGGGTTATCGCCCTGTGTTTGGTCAGAGTCAGTGGATGCAGATCTTAAGGGCAGAGCAAAAACCTGACCGGTTCCCTCAGCCATTCTGGGGAGGCCTTTCTTCTAGCAGCTCCCTGTGACCTTGCTCCCGAGACTCTGTGCATGGGTTACTGAGAACATGGCTTACCATTCAGGCTGTCACTGTAGGGTTCGGAGAGCGACTCTGTGGGCCTGGTGTTGCTCCTTCTGGGAGAGGAGCGGAGCTTGGTGCGCCCTGACTTGCCCGAGCGCACTGATGTGCCGGAGGCTGGGCCTCTGGAACCGGGGGTCTGTGGGGAGGATGTTTTCGAGCGTGTGGTTGGCGGCCGTGGTTTCTGGAACAGCTTGGGGCTGGGAAGGTCCTCACTGGATAGATTAAGACCCGGTGCCTGAGCTGGGATCCCATCCAACTTTGGCAGCAATGAGAGAGATGAAATTAGAAATGTGGAGCTGGGGTGAGTGGGGCATGTGACCAGTGTCTCCAAGATTGAGCTGGTCACCCCCTCCGCACCCCCTTTCTCTCCTCTCCCCTAATTTCTGGAAGATGAGGTATAGGACTTAAGATATTAAAATGTCAGAATTGGAAAGAAATCTCACAATTGGTCCCCATGTTGTAAATAAATCCACAATCAGAAGTATCACTCTACATTCAGATACTTGGTGTTAGTTTACATTTTCTAAATTAGGGGCCCGGGAGTACAAACGGTTAACATGATCAGCTCCTACCAAACGGGTGGCAACTGAGTCCACCCCAGGTACCTGGGAAGAAAGGCCTGAGCATCTAATTCTGAACGCTCCAATAGTGGTGGTCCCAAGGAGCAGTTCTCCCCTGACACACGGGAGGTGGACATGAGTGGGAACCGACTCCACAGCGATGCTGTGACGGACGCTGAAGGTTTTGTTAAAAACAGTGAGAAGAGAAACATACCGAGAAGACTTTCACTTGTGTCTTTTCGCTGATTTTCAGGCTGGTGAAGCACTGATTCCCACGTGTTTCTCTTTCTCTAGAAGATTCCATCAGACTCCCCAGTAACGCTGTCATTTCCTCTTCGTCACTGTCTGGAGAGTCCAATGTCTTAACAGGGTCTTCCAGCTGGGGCGTTAGAAGATTCGGTTCTTTCCCCAAACGTGCTTCTTGGGCTGTTGCTTTGGGCGGCTCTTTCTTCTTGAGGAACCTGCAGCCACTCCCGCTCTGCACCTGGCTCTCAGAGGCGGGGGTTTCATGGGCATATTTCTGGGAAGAAGGTTCAGCTGTACTCCTGGTGGGGACTTCAGCGAGCCCCTTGGGAAGGCTGGCATCCAAGGTCTTCAGATCAGAATCTGTGTCAGACAAACCCCTCTGTGCCTGGCGGTTTCTGATCTTGGTCTCTATCTGGGCCAGCCTTAAGAGGGCAGCGCTGGCCCGGGTCTGGGAGGTGGTGGTCAGCGGCCGGCTGGAGGAAGAGGGCCTGGGTCCACCCCGGAGGAAGGGGCTCTCCTTGGGAAAGAGGTTCCTCTCTTCTATTTGGTTCCTTTTCAGGAACCTGCTCTGATTAGCTGTCATTTTGGTCAGACTCCTGCTGATTCCTAAGTTTCTAATTGCTTCCATTTTTGAATCTCCTAAGGAAAAATCGCTGAAATCGCCAAACAGGTCGTGCACCGAACGGCTGACTTTCCTTGCTGAAGTCATTCTAGGGAACAAAGAGAAATGATTTATGTTGGGACGGCTCTGTTTGCATGGTGCCTTCAGTTCTCTCAAACGCTGGAGGTCACAGTCCCACTTTGCAGTCGGTCCTGGCCCTTCCAGCCCAATGACGATGAAGAAAGTGACCAGATGCTCGGCTCCACTCACAGCCATCACCCATCTACCTGTGGAGCCTTGCATGTTGCTAGGTTGCTGAACAGGTTTCCGCACAGCTTCCAGAACAGGGAAGACTAGGAAGAGAAGTCTGGCAATAAACTTCCAAAATCAGCCAATGAAAACCCTGTGGAGCACAATGGTCTGATCCACAACCAGTCATAGGAATGGTGCAAGACGTTGCGTCCCACTGTGCGTGGGTTGCCATGAATCAGGGCTAATGGACAGCGGCTAACACAACCACCGCTAAATGAATAGCCATTATTAGCCAGGAATTAACCAATCTCATTCAACACCAGAGTTGGCACCTCGGACTGAGTGGGGAGCTGGCCCTCCGCTCAGTGCTGTGGAACATTTCATGTTCACTCACACTCACCAGGTCCCGGGAGTCGGTTAGCACCCTCCTGTTCCACAGAGGACCTGGACGAGATGGAAGCTCATGCACGTTGGGTACCAAATGTTTCTGTGTCATCAAGCTGCTGCCAACTCACTCATGATGACCCCATGTGACAGAGTAGACCTACCCCATTGAGTTTTCTGAACTATAATTATGGGGAGCAGACCTGTCGGTCTTTCTCTTGCAGAGACACCGGCGGGTTCAAACTGCTGACCTTTTAGTTAGCAGCCAAACATGTAGCCATTGAGCCACCGGGGCTCCTTGGGTGGGGAGTTGTTGTTGTTGTTAAGTGCTGTCCAGTTGGTCCTGACTCACAGCGACCCTGTACAAGGGTTTCCAAGTCTGTAAATCTTTGTGGGAGCAGAAAGCCTCCTCTTTCACCTGCTGAAACGAGGAGCAGCAGAGCCAAATCCAAACCTCAATCTGATTCCAAAGATTGCATTGAAAACCAACGTGCTTCCAGCCTCGCCTGACACTCTGCAACACCCCTGCTCCCTACTGTGCTCCCGGCTTCACCACTGCATGTAAGCATCCTCAGCACATTTACAACAGCTTCTGAAATGCAATGTATATATAACAAGTTTCCAGAACATCTCCTTTCACTTAAAGTAGGAGGACCACTGCTCTGGGGAGGGGCTACGGGCAGACACAATATCCTGCTTCCCACCATGTTTGCCATGTACTGCATGGGCGGGGGTGGGGGTGGTGTGCTTTTCCAGAGACAAGGGTGAGTACTTACATCAAATTCTCCAAGTTCCCATGAGCTCCTGTAATACCCACCAGCTATATCATGTTTGGTAAGGTGGAGGGTAAAAGAAAAAGAGGATGACCCCCAGCGAGACGGAGTAGCAAAGTGGCAGCATCAATGGACTCAAGCATGGCAACAATTGAGGTTGGTCCAGGACCAGCCAGTGTTTCATTCTGTTGTGCACAGGGTCGCTATGAATCAGTACCAACTGATGGCACCTAACAACAGCAACAACAACAACAAGATCTACAAAGATTTCGAAAGATGTGAAAGGCTTAAAAGGATTTAAAAACACAAACACAGCATGAGTGGGTGTGTGTGTGATGCAGCTCCCTAAGTACTGGCATCCAGTGATCCAGATGTTAATGCAGAAACCCCTGGACTCAGCAACTCTACATCTGCAATTACTCACAAGTGCAGAGAGAAACATATACCCACTGAAGGTCTAACATCTCATCATATTCTAAAAATGCCTACAACTTTACAACCAAAAGGACAAACCCAATCCAAAAAATAGGCAGGGGACTTGCACATGAAATGATGCTCAATGTCATTAAACTAGGGGTTAAGTGCCATCTAGTTAGTTCTGACTCATGGTGATCCTGAGAGGGTTTCCAAGGAGCAGCTGATGGAGAGATGCAAATCAAAACTCTGATGAGATGCTACCTCACCCCATTAGAATGGTTATTATAAAAAAACAAAAATGAATTAGAAAGGAAAATTGATGTTGGGAACACAGGAACCTCATCCTGTGCAGCCACAGTGGGAAATCGTTTGGTGGCTTCTCAAAAGGTTGAACAGAAAAATACCATGTGAAGTAGAAATCTCAATCCTCAGTGTCCACCCAGAAGTGAAGGCAGGAACACAAACAGAAACCTATGCACCATGTTCATTTGCAGTGAGCCAAAACGCAGAAACAACCAAAATGTCCATCAATAAATGATGGATAAGCACAGTGTGCTCTATCCATCCCTACAATGATGCAACAACATGAATAAACCTTGAAAACATCATGCTGAGCGAAATTAGTCAGTCATGAATGGACAGATAGTGTAAGATCTCACTTGTATGATACAAGCAAATACACAAAACCCAAAGATGCTCAGGGGTGGAAAGGAGGGAGGAGAGGGTATGTTTGCTTAGGGAGTGCTGAGTTTCAGGGTGGTGGAATCATTTGGAAACGGAGAGTGAGAATGGCTACACAATTTGAAGAATTGAATCAGTGTGACTGAATTGCACCTGTAGAAATTGTCGAGCTGGTGTATGCTTTGTTGTTTATATTTTTTACCACAATTAAAAAAAAAAAAGTGAATGAAAATGTATGTTCAGAAAAACTCATGGTGGGATTGTTTATATTCAACAAAAACCCAAATCCACAAATCAGCCTGGAGTGGCTAGAAGAACAGAAGATACTTCTTGCAAGAAAGACCTACAGGAAAAATACAAAACAATAGAGGCAGATGGACTGTTACTACAAGAACAAACAAATTGCTTGCCCAGGAAACATCAAGGCAAGTGGTCAGGTCCCTTTAATGCAAACCCCCTTCCAAGACTAAGACTCAAGGAAATACGTGCTCTGATTGGTGACCACACGCATTGCCGATAGGGGGAAGTGGGGTAAAAGCAGTAATGAAGCGGCAAGCTAAGCCCTACAATGTTCGGTGGGCTTCTGTGGACCCAGATGGGGACCTGGTGGGCCAGCAGTGTGGGGAGACCTGGGGACTCCTGGGCCCAGAGTCAGCGGCGTGGCCACAGAGGACTAGAGTGGAGAGTGAAGCTACCAGTTGATAGGAAGAGAGGGCATACGCATAAGAACACCCATACTTACAGATGGTACCCACGTGACCTGTCCCTGATGAATGGATGATCAGAACTCAACCAGGAGAAGAAAGAAGAGGGAAAAAAAAAGAGTGATCTGATACAATTTGATGAACTTGACCTACACCTATGGATGCAGTAACCCAAAAGAGGGAACAAATCCTTACAGCAAGAAACATTCCGACCCCCTCCACACACAGAGTAGACAGAGATGGGCAACTTGGACATTGGATACCCAAATGGGGGGCAGGGGGACTACAAAGGCAAGAAGTGACTGGCTTACAAGCTTTCAAGAGGGAACCTAGAGCTAGGGGGCATGGAGGAAGGCAGAATCTCCAGTGAGTACTATCCAATCTGTCTAGGCAGAGCTGATGAAATGAAATGCAGAAGGGTCACTTGTGATACAATAGTGAAGAATTGTTATCAGGACTGATTGTGAGGGTTGGAAATGTAAAGGTAGACGTTTTGTAGCAAGGAAGGAAGTGATTAACTCTCCAGTCTAGGAGTCTCTAGGACTATCAATGGAGAAGAGCCAAAAGCAGGACTCTACCTAGAGAAGCAGCAAGGCCTGAGATAGAGGCAGAGACGATGATATGGAGTGATGAAGCGGCTGGGGACTTTGGATCCAGAGAGGGAGAGGGATTGTGTGCTGAAGAATGGGGGGGGGGGGGGGGGGGGAGGGAGGAGGGGTACAAACACAAAAACAAATCCAGCTCTAGAGAAACTGGTGAGAGCCAGAAGATACGTACATATAGTGGAAGACTATGTAGCATTTAAATGAGGGAATGCTCTCTAAGAGACCAGAAAACATTTCCCCTAAAGCAATGATGAGAAGGTAAGGGGCAGGTGGCTAGGGAAGCTAGAATAATGGAAATAAAACAACCAGAATGTAAACAATGAGAATGTTGACACATTGTGAAAAACATAGCAATGTCACTGGGCAATATGTATAAAACAGTTACATGGGAACCTAATTTGTTGTGTAACTTTTCACCAAAAACAATAAAATATAGTTTTTTTAAAAAAAAGAATGAGGGAAAGATTCTTATGATTCAATAATGAATAATTGTTATCATTACTAATTGCGACTGTCACAACTGTAAAGATAGAAGTTTTGTAACAAAAAGGTGGGAGTAGTTAACCTTACAGTCCAGAAACAGAGGACCCTCGGACCATCAAGGGAGAAGAGCACTAATGGTATGTGGGACCCTATGCAGAGAAGCAGCAACACCAGAGATGGAGGCAGAGATGAGGACATGGAGAGAGAGAGCAGCTGAGGACTCTAGACTCATATAAAGAGAAAGGCTGTGTGTTGGTGGTCAGGAGGCAGGCTTGCAGAATGTGTCATTTGGTTGTTTAAATGATTATATATTCCTGAGTGTTTCTGTGTACATCCCCCCCCAAAAAACAAAAACACAGAGGGAATAGAAGCAAATACTGTTGAATGGTGATGCACGGAGGAGATTATAATCATTACAATGAAATGATGGAGTGAAACCGATACTCTCCCATGTAACTATCACTCAATTTACAATAAAAAACAAAACAAAAAAATGAGGGAACACATTCGGCCGGGTGGTTCCTCAAAAAGTTGAACACATTACAACAGAATGACTCAGGAAAAACTGAAGACATATCCACACAAACACTTGTAAGCAAACGGTCATAGTACCTATAATTTATAATAGGAAGTGGTAACAACCCAAATATTATTAACTGATGAATAGATACATAAACTGTGATCCATCCACTACTTGGTGTTTATCCTAGAGAAATCAGAGCTGCCACATGAATAGATGGTCACTGAAGCACTATTCACGACAGCAAAAAGATGGCAACAACCTAAATACCCAACAACAATAGAATGGCTAAACAAACTACGGTACATACACACAACAGTATACTATGTGACATTAAAGAATAACTATGAAACTGGAAAGCACCCCATAACATGGATGAACCTGGAAGACATTATGCTGAATGAAACCAGTCAATCACAGAAGAGCAAATCTTGTGTGAGAACACTATTATAAAAAGTCAAGAAAAGGTTTTCACACTGAAAAGAAACATTTGTTGAGGGTTACCAGGAGTGGGAGGGAAAAGGAAGAGTAAATTACTAACTAGAGGGTTAAGTGTCAATGAGTCCATTCAAACTCATAGCAACCTGGTATAGGATTTCCAAGGAGTGGCTGATGGGTTTGACCCCCTGATCTGCATTAACAATCCAATGCTTATCCCACAGTTCTGCATCAGGCAGACACATACTAATTCAAGTGGAGTGGAAGGCAATATACAATAAAAGGGACGTCAGCTTGCAATCAATAACATGAAACAAAATGTGTATGAATTATTTGAATGAAAAACTGATTTGCTCTGCACACGTACACCCAATTCATTAATGAAAAGTTAAAAAACAAACTGTGGTACAGTCATACGATGAATACTATTCAGCCATAAAAAAGAATAAATAAAAATGGCAATATGATTGGCTACTACAAGAAAAAACAAGTTGTTCACCGGGAAGCTATCAAGGTAAGCAATCAAGTCCCTTCAGGACAAACCTCCCTCCAAGACTGAAACTCAAAGGGAACAACACATGAGCAGTCATGTATAAGCTTGCTGGCGACCACATTGGTCTACTAGTGAGGGGAAGAGTGGGAAAGGCAGCAATGAAGAAATGGGCTGAGTTCAACCACGTTCCACAGACTCCCGTTCACCTGGAGATGAGAGAGAGAAGAGGAAGGGCTGGTTGGTCCAAAGTGTGTTGAGACCTGGGGACACCTGAGCCCATGGACAAGGCCATAGCCACAGAGGGCTAGAGCTGAGAGTGAAGCTTCCAGTTGATAAGAAGTGTGGGGAGAGGCACAAGAACACCCAAAATTGTTGATAGTACCCATTTGACCCAGCCTTGATGGTTTGATAATCACAACCTGACTAGAGGATGATAAAAAAAATTTTTTTTTAAATAAAGGAAACGAGAGTAAATTGCTACAATTCGATGAATTTGACCTATATTTACTATATTATGTTGTTGTTGTTGTTAAGTGCCATCGAGTCGGGTCCGACCCATAGCGACCCTGTACAGGGTTTCCGAGGGTGTAAATCTTTACGGGAGTAGAAAGCCTCATCTTTCTCCCGCGGAGCGGCTGGTAGTTTCGAACCGCTGACCCTAAGGTTCGCAGCCCGATTCGTAACCACTACGCTACCAGAGCTCCCTATATTATAGTAGCTCAAAATACCAACAGATAGGGAAGGAATCTTCACATCCAGTATCAATGTTATCCCTTCTGTATACAGAGGGTAGATAGGGACAGGCAACTTACAGACACTGGCTACTTAAAATGAGTGGGTGATAAAAATACAAAGTGACTGGCTTACAAGTTTTCAAGAGGGAGTTTAGTTTAAGATTGTGTAGGGGAAGGTAGAACCTCCACTGAATAGTTTTCATCTTGTCTAGATGGGTCTGGTAAAAAGAGATGAGGATAAGATTCTTACGATTCAATAGTGAATAATTATTATAAATTACTAATTGCAAGTGTCACAATTGTAAAGGTAGAAGTTTTGTAACAAAAAGGAGGGAGTAGTTAATCTTACAGTCCAGAAGCAGAGGACTCCAGGACCAGCAAGGGAGAAGAGCACAAGTGGAATGCGGGACCCTATCCAGAGAAGCAGAGATGGAGGCAGAGATGAGTACATGGAGAGAGAGAACAGCTGAGGACTCTAGACTCATGGAAAGAGAAAGGCTGTTTGCTGGCAGCCAGGAGGCAGACTTGCAGAATGTGCCCTTTGGTGGTGTAAATTATTATATATTCCTGAGTGTTTAAGAAAAAAAAAGAAAGCTAAAATGAATATTGAGAAATACTGTTAACTGATGGTACATGGAGGGTATTATAATCATTGTAATGAAACAAAGTATATGACTTGTTGAATATGAAACTGAAGATCTGCCTTGTAAACTTGCACTCAATTCACAATGATAACTTAAAAAAAAAAAAAAGTATTTACTCTCAGGAAAAAAAGAATAAATAGTGATTACACACAACACAGATGAACCTCAAACACATCATGGTAATGGGAAAGAAGCCAGATGTAGAAGGCCACATAGTATGTGATTCTATTGTATGAAATATCCAGAACAGGCCAATCCATGCTGACAGAAAGGACATCAATCTGGGGGCGGGAGGGATCTTCTTGGGGTGAAGGAAATGTTCTAAAGCTGGAACGTGGCGATGGCAGCACAATTTGGTAAACACATTAAAATGAACAGAATTGTACATTTAAAATGAGTCCCTGGGTGGTGTAAACAGTGAACAAACTCGTTTGCCAATGTAAAGGATGGAGGTTCGAGTCCACCCAGAGGTATCTTGGAAGAAAGACACGCTGATGTACTTCTGAAACATCAAGCACTGAAAACCCTGTGGCACACAGCTCTACTCGGACACATAGGAAGTCGCCAGGATTCGGAGGGGACTGTAAGCAACTGAACATTTTAAACGGGTAAGTCTTACGGTAAGTGATACCTCAATAAAGTTCTCAAAAATAAACAAACCAAACTTTGAAAACACAACCATTTCTCACGCCTCCCCGGTTCTTCCGCCAGCCTGTGGGCACCACCTGTACGGGACCACGCTTCTGAGTGGAGCCCAAACAGGGAAATTGAGCCTCAGGTTCCCCCTTCCGTATCCCTCCTAAGCGAGCTTCCAAGATTCCCCCTCCATTTCCTCCCAGTCACTCTCCCAAGTCAGAACGACCCCGCCCGAATGCCGCGCACCCTCCCCTCGGACCTCTTCCCACGAAGTCTCTCCACAAAAGGTAGCCGCCGAGCTCCGGCTAAGGCCCCAGGCCCCAGATGACTGTTGCCCGAGCAACTTCTCTGGGACAGAAGAGACTACATCTCTCGGCGTGCACTGCGCAGCTCCGGGGACCACTGATGCGGTAGGTCACAATCGCGGGGCTTCACAGGAGCGGTAGTTCTGGGGCAGGCTCGGCGTGCACTTGGCGCTGGGTATCAATGTCGCATCAGGTCATAATCGCAGGGCGTGCCGGGAATTGTAGTCTGGGGACGGGTGGCGCGCTACGCGGAGACTTTTTGGAAGCGAGAGCTGGACGGTTGCAGAGGAGGTTGCAGCCTACATGGGGGTGGCTAGAGCCCCACTGTGGGCGATCTGTTTGTTGCGTGTGGTGCTGGCCACGGTCTACTTCCAGGAGGAGTTTTTAGACGGAGGTGAAAGGGGCCTTTCCTGGTGTCAGGGACTTGAGGATCCCAGTTTAACTGCCCAATGGATGACCAAGTTGCCTGGGCCCTTGGGCCCCTGCTGTGGAGTTGAGGGCGGCAAAGCTGCGGGGTCCCCTTCAGCCTCCCCGTGACCCAAACTTCGTGTTCAGCCATGATCGGTGTTGTTTTCCTCCACAGAGCGATGGAGGAACCGATGGGTGCAGTCCACCAATGACTCTAAATTCGGGCATTTTAGACTCTCATCGGGGAGTTTTTATGGTCATAAGGAGAAAGACAAAGGTTTGTGTAGGAAATGACCCTAAAAATCTTTTTACAATCCGTGTGGCCACACCCTAATGCCTGTTACACACATTTTGTTGTTGTTGTTGTTGTTAAAGTGTTGTCAAGTCACTTCAGACTCATGTTGTTGTTGCTAACTGCTGTCGAGTTGGTTCCGACCTAGAGCGACCCAGTATAGGGCTTCTGGGGGAGCAGCTAGTGAGCTTGAACCTCCGACGTTGCAGTTCAAACACTTAGCAGTCTAGAGCATTAACGCATAGCGCCATACCAGGACTCATTTCAGACTCATAGTGACCCTATATATGATTTTCAAAGAGTAGCTGGTGGGTTTGAACTGCTGACCCTGTGATTCGCAGTCCAGTGCTGATCCCACAGCGCCATGTCAGGAGTCCAGGCCCATTTTACAGATGTTAAGTGCTGTCAAGTCGATTTCGACTATAGCGATCCTATATAGGGTTTCCAAGGAGCAGCTGGTGAGTTCAGGAAGGAAAACAGGGTAGCGTCTTCAGACCGTCTTTTCAATCAGTATTTATTAAATTGCTATGGAGTCCTGGTGTGGCACTGTAGGATAAGTACTAGACTGCTAACTGCAAAGTCTGCAGTTCAAACCCACCAGCTGTTCCTTGGAAACCCTATATAGGGCTGCTATGAGTCAATGGCTCGATGGCACTTAACAACAACAACAACAACATGAGTCAATGGCACTAAACAACAAACAAATTAGTTGTCACCGTCAATTTGACACATATTGACTGTATATGACAGTATAACGGTCCCAAATGGTTTCCTAGATTGTAGTTTGTTGTTGTTGTTCTGTGCCGTGGAGTCAGTTCTGACTCATAGTGACCCTGTACAGGGTTTCCGAGGCTGTCAATCTTTACAGGAGCAGAAAGCCTCATCTTTCTTCCGCGGAACAGCTGGTAGTTTAGGGAAGCCAACTGCCAGGTCTTTCTCCCCACAGGGCCTCTGAGTGGTTTCAAACCACCACCCTTTCAGTAAGTAAGCACTTGAGCACTTAACTGCTTGTGCCACCAGACATCAGTTTAGGAACACCGGGAGTCAGAATCCATTCGACCTGAAGCTAACACCAACAACCAGCATAAGCGCTTGGGTGGTAAATGGTTAAGCACCAAGATTACTAACCAAAGGGTTGGTTGGAACTGATGGGTTACTATGTTTGGACCCGACTCAGCACTTAACAACAAGCGTTGCCTTGGAAGTAAAGGCCTGCTTGAAAGGTTCACAGCATGGATAAGCTGACCCTGGCACACACTGGAGACGCCATGAGTTAAACTCATTACCTCCACAGCAACTGGGTTTGTTTTTTTGAGGGTGGGGACGGGGTGGTTTGGGTGGTGAAAACAGTAAAGCACTAGACTGCTAACTGAAAAGTTTGGCTGTTTGAACCCACCCAGAGGTACCTTGAAAGAAAAGCCTCACACTCTACTTCCTAAAAATGAGCCACAAAAAAACCCCAGGAACACAGCTCTGTGTTCACATGGGGTCTTTAATTGAAGTTGACCCAACAGCAACCATTTCTTGATACTTTGTTTTGTTTTGCATTTTATTCCCCTTAGGCTACTACTCCTTTCTTTTGTGTTTTTTCCTTCCTCTCATTTGGAATCCTGAGAGTCCCTGGGTACAAAACTACTTAGAGCAGACACAGGGACACCCAGTAACAAAGCCCCCTTCCTCCTGGTCTCCTAGGATCCCTGGTGATGTTGCAGAATAAGCACTGCACTGCTAATGGCAAGGTTGGCAGTTCAAACCCATCAGCTGCTCCTTGGGAGAAAGATGAGGCTTTCTGCTCCCGGAAAGATTGACAGCCTCAGAAACACTGTACAGGGTTGTTATGAGTTGGAATCAACTTGACGGCAGGCAGGGGGTTTTAGGGATTTCTCCTGGTCTCCAAGCATCATGACATTGACACCCTGATTTAAAGGATGAATAGAAGTTAGCCACAATGAGACAGGGAGTGGTGAGGGGGTGAAGGCAGCGGAGCTTCAGATGATCTGGGGGTGGTGAGGGAGACCGAGGGGCCATGAATCAATCCCCAGGGAAACCTGGAGGGTGGGCCGATAGAGCAGGAGCAGAAAGTGAGGGCTGTCAGAGTAGGAGGCAGTGTGTGTTCAGACTTGAACACACTGATCCCTAGACAGCACAAACCATTAGTGTTCAACTACTAAAAAGGGTGGCAGATTGAACTTCTCCAGTAAGCCATCCGTTCGTGGTAATCACCGAGCCTGGCCCTGAGGCAAGCCCATGATTAGGGACAGACTGGACCATTGTGATAGACTGATGTTGGGAAGCCAACCATCTGCCTCTTCTTCCTAGTCAGTGTGATTCTGGAAAGTGCTAGCAACATGCATGCCTCCACAGACAGGTGGACAGGGGCTGCACATGAAGTGAGCTGGCTGGGAAAGGAGCCTGGGTCTCCTGCGTGGAAGGCAAGAATTGTACCACAGAACCATCAAAGCCCTCCCCACTTAACAACATACCTTTGCTGTATTATGTGAAGTGTAAGGCCCATGAAATAAAAGAGCCAGCTGGGTATTGTCACATTGGTACTGAAGTCCTGGTGTGGCACTGTCGGATAAGCACTTGACCTATCTATCCAAGGTCTGTTTAAGGCACAAGGTTGGTGGTTCAAATTCACCAGCCACTTCTTGGGAAGCCCTATAACAGGGTCACTATGAGTCAGAAGTGACTCGATGGTACTTAACAACAATCCCAATAACATGGAAGAAAGGGAGTCCTGGTGCGGTGTGTAGGATAAGCACTTGACTGTAAGGTCAGTTTGAACTGCAGGGTCAGCAGCTCAAACTCACAAGCTGCTCCTTGGAAACCCTGTACCAGGGTTGCTATGAAGTGGAAGCAACTCAACAGTACTTAACAACAATAACCATGGGAGAAAAGGCTTGCAATCTGTTTCTGTGAAGATGAGAGCCAAGAAAGCTTTATGGAGCAGTTCAACTCTGCAACACGTGGGGTTGCCATGAATTGGAATGGATGGTTTTTTATTTTTGCTTTTTAAAATGCCATTTATTATTATTGGGGTTGGGAGGCATGACGGCAATTCCTTATCCTCATACTTTTCCTTGAAAGGTCTGCAAACCACCCAAAACAGCCGGTTCTATGCCATCTCTGCACGATTCAAGCCATTTAGCAATAAAGGGAAGACCCTAGTCATTCAGTACACGGTAAAACACGGGCAGAAGATAGACTGTGGAGGAGGCTACGTTAAAGTCTTTCCCTCAGATGTGGACCAGAAGAACCTGAGCGGGAAATCCCAGTATTACATCATGTTTGGTGAGTCCTCCTGGTTTACAGTGAAGCCACTGCTAGAGACCTCAGAAACCCATCTGGGGTGGTAAGCTGGTGACTCAAGACTTTGGCTAAAATATTTGAAATAGTATGAGGTCAGGGTACGAACAGTATTGAGTGGAACTGGCCCAAGGTTTTTAAGTCCTAGTAAATCTCATCAGTATTACAAAAAGACTACAATACTGAGGAGTAGCCAAACTCTTGCCCTGAGATACTCTAAGCCCTGAAGCGAAACCATCCCCGAAGCCTATCACCTTTTTAATGAAATAGCAGGTGAACTCAAATAGTAACGAATGTCACCTTTGAGTACTGTACTTATTATCTGCCGAGTGCCGTCGAGTCAGTTCCGACCCATAGCGACGAGTCGGTTCCGACCCATAGTGACCCTGTACAGGGTTTCCAAGGCTGTAAATCTTTACGGGAGCAGAAAGCCTCATCTTTCTCCCGCGGAGCGGCTGGTAGTTTCGAACTGCTGACCTTGTGGTTCGCAGCCTGATTCGTAACCACTACGCTACCAGAGCTGCTTGTACTTATTACCTATATGAGACTAAAATGGACAAAGCTTACTTGATAAAGCATGGATGAGAAAGTTGGGGGCGGGCAGCAAGGCTAAGTTAATGGGGATGAAACTACAGGAATGGAAACAGTAAGAATGCCCGCACATGTGAAGAATGGAGTTAATGTGACTGAAAACCCTGTAGGCCACAGGTCTGCAGAAACTACTGAATGGGAGCATGTTTTGCTGTGAATTTTCTCACCAAAAATACAGTAAAATGCTAAAAGAAATAGTTCACCATACAGTGGCACCATGTAAGAAAGTCCTGGCAGTCTGCTTCTATAAATTTTTATTGTTGCTATGGGTTCCGACCCATAGCGACCCTGTACAGGGTTTCCGAGGCTGTGAATCTTTACAGGAGCAGAAAGCGTCATCTTTCTCTCACGGAGCAGCTGGTAGTTTCGAACTGCTGACCTTGCGGTTCGCAGCCCGATTCGTAACCACTACGCTACCAGAGCTGAGAAAATCCTATGCAGCAGTTTTAGTCCTAACACATGAAGTCACTGGTTTGTTGTCCTGGCAGTCTTTGGTACATTTTTATTTTCAGTCTTTGGTACTTTTAATATTCTTCTCTAACACCATAATTCAGATGTATCAATTCTTCTATGATTTTCTTATTCACTGTCCAACTTTCACATGTATATGAGGCAAATGAAATACCTTGGCTTGGGTTAGGCACACCTTAGTCCTCAAACAGGCATCTTTGCACTTGAACACTTACAAGAGGTCTTGTGCAGCAAATCTGTCTTATGCAATACATCATTTGATTTCCTGACTGCTGTTTCCATGAGCATTGATTGGGGATCCAAGCAAAATAAGTCTTAAGACAACTTCAATCTTTACTCCATTTATGATGATGTTATTTATTGGCCCAGCGGTGAGGATTTTTGTTTTCTTTCTTTACACTGAGGTGCAATCCATACCGAACGCTGCAGATTTTGGTTGTCATCAGTAAGTATTTCAAGACCCCTTGGCTTCCAGCAAGCAAGGTTGTGTCATCTGCATATCACAGGTTGTTAACAAGTTTTCCTCCAAACCTAATGCCATATTTCTTCACATAATCCAGTTTCTTGGATTATTTGCTCAGCATACAGATTGAATAAGTATCAATGAAAGGATACAACCATGACCTACCCCTTTTCTGTTTGTGAATCATTCATTATCCCCTTGTTCTGTTCCACAACTGCCTCTTGGTCTATTTACAGGTTCTTCATGAGCACAATTACATATTTTAGAATTTCCATTCTTGGCAATGTTATCCATAGTTTGTTATGATCCACACATTTGGATGCCTCTCCTTTAATAAGATACAAGTAAACATCTTTCTGGTATTCTTTGCTTTCAGCCAAGATCCATCTGACATCAGCACTGATATCTCTTATTCCCTGTCCTCTTCTGAATCTGGCTTCAGTTTCAGGCAGTTCTCTGTTAATGTATTGTTACAACTGTTTTTGAATAATCCTTAGCAAAATTTTACTTGCATGTGATACTAATGATATTGTTCAATGATTTCCAAATTCCATTGGGTCACTTTTCTTTGGAATGGCACTTTCAATATTCTCCAACACCATAACTCAAATGCATCAATTCTTTCACAGTCTTCCTTATTCACTGTCCAACTTTCACATGCACATGAGACAACTGAAAATACCAGGCTTTGGGTCAGATGCACCTTAGTCCTCAAAGTACCATCTTTGCTCTTCAGCATTTTGTTTTTTAATGTTTCATTGAGAATTATGTGATAGTTTACATGGGAGAACATTAGTTTTACATTCATCCTATCCTATATTGTCTCATTGCCATGGTTACAATCCCCTCCATGCATCATCAACCAACCAAAGGGTATATATATCCTACAAGCCTGCCCACCAGTCATCAGCACACAGCCCCTCTCCCTCTCTGGGTCTAAAGTCCCCAGCTGCTCCATCTCTCCACATCATCATTTCTGCCTCTTTCTGGCATCACTGCTTCTCTGGGTAGGGTCCCTATCTCCACTCTTCTCCCTTGATGGTCCCAGGGACCTCCGCTCCTAGACTGCAAAGTTAATCACTCCCCTCCTTGTACAAAACATCTACCTTTACATGCTCTACAACATTTTAAAGATATCTTTTGCACCAGATTTGCCAAATACAGCATGTGATATCCTGACTGCTACTTCCATGAGTGTTGATTATAGATCCAAGTAAAATGAAGTCCTTGATAATTTCAATCTTTTCTCCATTTATCATGATGTTATTCATTAGTCCATTTGTGAGGATTTTAATTTTCTTTATATTGAGGTGTAATCAATACTGAAGGTTGTAGTCTTTGATCATCATCAGTTAGGATCTTAAGTCCTCTTTGCTTCCAGCAAGCAAGGTTGTATCACCTGCGTCTTCCTCCAATCCTGATGCCTTTTCTTCATATAATCCAGCTTCTCAGATTATTTGCTCAGCATACGGGTTGAATAAGTATATGAAAGGACACAACCTTGGCACACACCTTTCCTGATTTTAACCCATTCAATGACTCTTTAGTCCATTCTAACAATTCGTTGTGCTCAGGATGAACCTGTACCTAGACCAAGAGGCAGTCTTTGGACAGAACAAACCTACCTGTCAGTCAGTCCTGCTGCCCTTCCTCTTTTTAAGATAGCAGGTGAACACAAATAGTAATGAATGTCACTTAAATAAATTGTTTTTTTAAAAAGTGTTATCTTAGAGTAATAATAATGATAATGGAACAAATCTTGGTGTTTGCCACATTTTTTATGGAGATACGAAGGGGCTTCATAGAGTTTGTGGCAATATTCCATTATCTTTTTATTAACAATGTTCACGAACTTTTTGAAGCTCCCTTGTATAGACTGGCTTCAAAATATAATAACAGCACAAGCCGCAGACTTGGCCACACTAAGTACTTTGCATACATCCTCCAGCCCCTTCCACTGGTATCATCCCTTGTGACGTCATCTCCATTTTACGGATGCGGAAACTGAGGAATGGGAAGGCTGGTTAGTTGCCCATGACTCAGCTCCATGGGTTGGAGCTGATCTAGGCCGCTGAGAGCTACACCCTATCTGGTGCATGTGTCAGAGTTGGAGTGAGGTTGTTAGATGGTTGGGCCTATCTTTCTCTTACTCATGGGCTGAAATAGCTGAGATTTCCAGAGAAGGGCCTGCCAGGTGGGAGGTGTCACCCCAAACTTCTAGGCCTGAACATTTAAGGAGCGTGATCTGAAGGGGATCATTTATGGTGATGCAGAAATTACAGAAGGAAATTGAGAATAGATATAGATGGAGTGTGGTGACTCCATACGGTAAGCACTGGACTGTGAACCACAACGTTGGTGGGTCAAGCTCACCAGTTGGTCCACAGGAGGAAGATGAGACTTTCTGCTCCCGCAAAGATTTAAAAGCCTTGGAAACCCTATACAGGGTCACTATGAGTCAGAACCTACTTGAAGGTACTTAACAACATATATGTAATTTTTTTGTGTGTAGGGCCTGATATTTGTGGATTTGACATCAAGAAAATTCACGTTATTTTACATTTCAAGAACCAGTATCATTCAAACAAGAAATTCATCAGGTGCAAGGTAAATGCTCTCCCACCCAAACGTCTGGTTGTGTTACTGTCTTGTCTGATGGTAACCACATTTCATGAAGGCAGTTTTGGTCTTTAAGTATTTTGTCAAGCCTAGACTGGGTCTGAGCCAACAAACGTCCTGGTCCTGACTCCCAGGTTAGGAGGTCCATTAGAAAGACGTGAGGACTCTGACTGCTGACTTCCCCCCAACGTTCTGGCCCCGTCAGGAGGGCACACACATCCCTTTTCCTATGAACTGTGTCATCAGACTGCCACTGGCCCCCTGTGGATTACTACAGGACCCTCAGTTTTCATCCATCCATCACCAGGGATGAAACATTCAGGATAAGACACACATTGTGGAGCAATTAGGTCATCTTCAAAACACTGCAGCGTTTCACAAGAGAGTAAATGCATCCTGTCTTGCTCTCTTACCCAGGAGAACTCCATTTCTCAAGGCAGTGGCAGGAGGCGACATTGCAAAAGCTGCCAGGAAGGTGCCAGGAGCCTCCTCTGTGGGCCCGTGAGGCCCCCTGGGGCTGGGTAACCATAGCTGAAGTCCAGCATTGCCCACTGTCACCACTGCTCATGGCTCATTGGGGGTGGGTGGGGGTCTGTGCTGCTTGTCTGTGAGCGGCGTGGGGCTCCTCGCAGCCTGTTGGCTCCACTGGCTCTCAGACCAAGCAAGCTACTCTGGGAGCTGACACATACCCTGTGGTGCCCGAGGGCTTTGCCAGGGCTTCCCATAAGGGCCTGGAAAATGTTAGAGACTTACTTCTGGTGTGCCATGTGGAGATGCTCTGGTGGCACCGTAGGCTAAATGTTGGGCTTCTAACCAAAAGGTTTGTGGTTCCAACCCATCAGCAACTCTGAGGAAGAAAGCTGGGCCTCTCTGCTTCCATAAAGAATTTTTTTTTTTAAGTTTTTATTGTGAATTATGTGATAGTTTACATGGGAGAACATTAGCTTTACATTTACCCTAATGTATTTCATGTCATTGCAATGATCACAATCCCCTCCATGCATCATCAACCAACCAAAGTGTATACCCCACAAGCCTGCCCCTCAACTGTCAGCACACAGCCCCTCTCCCTCTCTGGGTCTAGAGTCCCCAGCTGCTCCATCTTTCCATGTCATCGTCTCTGCCTCCATTTCTGGTGTCACTGCTTCTCTGGGTAGGGTCCTGCACTCCGCTCCTCTCCCAGGTACCTCTGATCCTGGCCTGCAAAGTTAAGCATCCCCCTTCCTTTTGTTATAAAACGTCGACCTTTACATTTTCAACCCTCACAGTCAGTCCTGATAGCAATTCTTCACTATTGTGCCACATGAGAGCCATCCCACCTCCTTTCCTCAGCCCCGCCCAGGCAGACTGCTTCCATAAAGACGAACACACTTTATCCTAGTTGTCTCTTTAGGATCACTATGATGACAGTGGGTTTGGGTTTCGGTGCCTAGTGGGGCTGCTGGGACAAGGCCTTGGTTGAAAAGCCTGCAGAAGGCCCAACCTGTGACCCAGAGGTGGGCTCAGGGGTGGGGCCTGGGAGAGGTTGACCTGTGACCTGGTGGTGGGCTCAGGAGTGCTCTGTGAGGAGGAAGAGGGAAGCTGACCTCATGGAGGGTTTCCTTGTTTTTGTGGACCTCTACTTTACCAGCTCTGACGTCCTCTTCCAGCCATTACTTTTTCCTACTGACACATCCACAGTAAGGGAATTGCAGTCTCTGGAGGATACCTTTTCTCTTCAAATCGAATGACTCCACCTTCCCAGTCTGCCTGCCCCCTTACTGTTTCTAATACGGCTGTGTCTGGTGGACTTGTAAACGGAGACCTGGGCTGAAGCAGCAAGAGATTTGACTCATCCTTTTGTTTCCCTTCCTCCCCTGGAATTTGCAGATTGATGCCTTTACACACCTCTACACTCTAGTTTTAAGACCAGATCTGACTTACGAAGTGAAAATCGATGGTCAGTCAATCGAGTCAGGAAACATCGAGTACGACTGGAATCTAACATCCCTGAAGAAAACGGAAAAGTCTTCAGCAGAATCTAAGGGCTGGGATCAAACTACAGATGACAAAACGCAGGTTTGGAATTTTCCTGAACAAGCGAAACCAATTTCTGCCAAGTCAACCCCGGCTCACAGTGACCACATGTGTGTTGGAATAGAACCGCACTCCATAGCCGATCTTTTGATGTGTGTTGGAATAGAACCGCGCTCCACAGCCGATCTTTTGGGAAAGAGATCACCAGGCCTTTTTTCCAAGACATCTCTGGCTGGACTTGAACCGACATCCTCTGGTGTAGCAGCTTAGCACGTTGACCATTTGCACCACCTGTTGTTGTTGTTGTTAAGTGCCGTCGAGTCGGTTCCGACCCATAGCGACCCTGTACAGGGTTTCCGAGGGTGTAAATCTTTACGGGAGTAGAAAGCCTCATCTTTCTCCCGTGGAGCAGCTGGTAGTTTCGAACCGCTGACCTTAAGGTTCGCAGCCCGATTCGTAACCACTACGCTACCAGAGCTCCTTCACTTGCACCACCTAGGGATTCCAAAATAACTACTGTTGTTAAGTGCTGTCGAGTTAGTTTCGACTCACAGCAACCTTATGTACAACAGAACGAAATCCTGCCCAGTCCTGTACCATCCTCACAACTATTGTTAAGCTTCAGCCTACTGCTGTTGCCACTGTGCCCATCCACCTTGTGGGAGGTCTGCGCTTTGTTCACTGACCCTCCACTTTACCCAGCATGTCTTTCTCCAGGGACTGGTCAGCCCTACTTGCTTTCATCTTACAGACTGTAAAACTCTTCTGTGATGCCTTGAAATGTGGCTTGTAATAGCAGCATGTGCTTGCAGGGAGGACACTTGATGATTAGACTATCAACGTCACAATTACCACTCACAGCAATTGTAACTGGGCAGCCACAAAGTATACCTTTATATTTTCTATAGTTATTTTGGAAAGTGGGGTGGCTCTAGATGGTAAGCACTGGACTGGGAAGCACAGGTCAGCAATTCAAGCCTACCAGCCACTCCATGGGAGAAAGACGAGGCTTTTTGCTCCCGCAAAGATTTAAAGCCTCAAATACCCTACACAGAGCTGCTATGAGTTGGAACCAACTCCGTGGCACTGACAACAGTAGTTAGTTTTGGAGTCCTGTTATGACACTGTAGGATAAACACTAGAATGCTAACTGTAAGGTCAGTTGTTGTGCCTTGGAACACTACATCATGGGGGGGGGGAGGACTCAATTCAGTTGATAACAAGATCTTTTCATTTAATTACACCTGCAGAGATCCACGTTCCAAATAAAGTCCCTTGCACAGGTCCCAGCAGGGGCACATATCTTCTGAAGATACAGTTCCAGGCCTAGCACATCTATCCAACCCCCACTGCCAAGGCCATGGATGTGCTCCAAATGGGACCCAGGGCCCAGAAGACAAAGAAACTTAGTAGGCGACAGGTTTTGTCCTGAAATCCCAATCCTTTGAGGCTCCGCCCAAGGCTCCTGAAATCTGGTTCCCAAGTGCCATTGGCAGATTATCTGGGAAGTCTCTCTCTAAACTGGTTAATCCTTGTTCATATACCTAGGTCTGAGTGAGCTCGAACCGTGGAACTTGTGACTCACAGTGCAGTGCTCATTGTATGGAGCCACTGCACTCCATATACACATATACAAACTATCATCTGTGTGTAAATGTGGTGCTGTAGGATCAGCACTGGACTGAGAACCACAAGGTCGGCGGTTCAAAACCATCAGCCACACCCCAAAAACGCTATACAGGGTCGCTATGAGTTGGAACCAACTCCACGGCACTTAACAACAATGTAACTGCTTTTGTCCTGCTACTCAGCAATTCCACGTTTCTCTGGAATGCTTGCCTAGGACCACGGCAGAGGCCAGATGTAACGTGACTTGAGCAGAGCTAGGTCTCTCCCCATTAGCACTTCCAGGCCCACCGTTTGAAGTTAGCCATATCCTTGCATTATCCACACTGCTGTTCCTCTCAACTGCATGTAAGACAAAAGGCTAAAATCATACAGGGCGCTATTGAGAAAACCCAGCCTTGTGTTGCCTGAAGCTCTCAGTGGGCTTGGAGCCCCTGACCATCTAATGGGAAAGGAGAGGGGAAAACGGCAAAGGGGCCACAGCCTGGTCTCCTGGTGTCTGAGGATTCCCCCTCTCATGTCTGATCACCTGACAGAGTTTTGGGTTTATGTACAGGACTGGGAGAAACATTTTCTGGACGCAGGTGCCAGCAAGCCGAGTGACTGGAACAGTGAGCTGGATGGGGACTGGTCGGGGCCGATGCTTCAGAAACCTCCATACCAGGTATGGGCTCCCTGGTGCCTGGGACTGGGGACGTCCTTGGCTTGTCCTCTCCTCTCCCTTCCACATCAGGCCAACCAACATGCGGGCTTATACTGCAGGACAGCTTGAAACCAGACGGGATTGATAAAGATGTGTGGCTCCATCAGAAGATGAAAAGCACCAACTACCTGTCAGAATATGACCTCTCAGAATTTGAGAATATCGGCGCTATCGGGCTGGAGCTGTGGCAGGTAGGGTTTCGTTTGCTTTCGGCAAAATCTTGGCACTTCAGCTTGTTTCTGGCATTGAGTCAAATGAGACTCATGGTGACTGCATGTGGTACAGAGGACTGCCCACCAGGTCTTCTGGGCCATAGACTATCTCGAGGCAGATTACCGGGTCTTCTGTTCCATGGTATCATTGGGTAGGTTCCAATCACCACATTTTAGGTTGAGCACTGTTTGCACAAAGTTGAGTGTAAACTTGGTGCAAAAAAGTCAAAGCCGTTGTTGATTCCAGATCATGCTGTTGAGTTGGTTCAGGCTCACAGTGACTTGACCCTATGTAGGACAGAAGGAAACACTTCCCAGTCCTGTGCCATCCTCACACTCCTTCCAATGTTTGAGCTTATTCCTGCAGCCATGGGGTCAGTCCATCTTGCTGATTCTTCTTTTTCACTGACCCTCTACTTCTCCATCCTATGTTGATGTTATGTGCCGTGGAGTCGGTTCCGACTCATAGCGACCCTGTACAGTTTCCGAGGCTGTAAATCTTTACAGGAGCAAAAAGCCTCATCTTTCTCCCGCAGAGCAGCTGGTAGTTTTGAACTGCTGACTGTGAGATTAGCAGCCCGATTCATAACCACTATGCTACCAGAGCTCCATCCTATAGGACCAGGTAAAACTGCCCTATAGGGTTTCCAAGGCTGTAATCTTTATAGAAGCAGACTGCTACATCTTTCTTCCACAGAGCAGCTGGTGGGTTTGAACCACCAATCTGTCAGTTAGCAGCTGAGTGCTTTAGTCATTGCACCACCTGGGCTCCTTTCAGGGCCCCTTTACCCAATGCTATCAAGTCAATTCTCACAGTGACTCTACAGGATAGCAAAGAAGTGCTCCGTAGACTTTCTGAGTCTAAATGTTTACAGGGGCAGCAACCTCCTCTTCTGGGTAGGAACATATGTTGTTGTTGTTAAGTGTTGTTGAGTCAGTTTTGACTCACAGTGATCCTATAGAAGGTTTCTGAGGAGCAGCTGGGGAATTCGAACCACTGACCTTGCTGTTCAAACTGACTTTGAAGTTGAGTGTTTATCCTATGGCATCACCCTATAGAACTGTATTGTTGTTGTTACGTGCCGTTGAGTCAGTTCTGACTCATAGCGACCATGTATAGGGTTTCCAAGGAGCAGCTGGTGAGCTTGAACCACTAACTTTGCAGTTCAAACCAACCTTGCAGTCCAGCGCATTAACCCACAACACCATACCAGGAACCAGGACTCCTTTGTTGTGTTGTTAGGTGTCATTGAGTTAGTACTGACTCATAGCGACCCTATCTGTGTACAACAGAACGACACACTGCCCGATCCTGGGCCAACCTCACAATTGTTGCCATGCTTGAGCCCATTGATGCTGCCACTTTGCCAATCCATCTCGGTGGGGGTCTTTCTCTTTTTCTCTGACCCTCCACCCTACCAAACATGATATTCTTTTCCAGTGACTGGTCCCTCTTGACAATATGTCCGAAATATGAGAGATGAAGTTTGGCCATCCTGGCCATCCTTCTTCCTTTAATTCAAAACAATGCTATTTAATGAGCACTTATTATGTGCCAGGCCCTAAGACACAGCTGTTGACATAACTGAAACAGGCCCTGTCTTCTTGGGGTTTTCCACCCTGCAGTTTTGCCCTCTGGAAATTGTACCTTTCTAACTGCTGGTAGCATATTGGTCCTGCGCTCAGAACCGATCTGGGGCGCCATCAACTCCAGGATAAGATGGTGGGGGTTCCTGCTCCAGCCAGTCTGCTTGTGCTGGTCCACATCCCACACCCAGCACAGGAAGGTTCCGGAGCAGTGGTCCTCCAATGTGGGCATGCCCCAGGGGAAGGGAGAAGAGGCACTGGGGCAGGGGTAGTCTGTCAATGCTCTAGGCAACCCTGGTTGCCTCCAAGTTGGAGAACCAGTGTCTGGAGGGAACTGGTGGCCCCAGTGTGTGGATCCACATCGCACTGGGAACTTGACACTAGCTCCGTGCTGCATGCAGCATGGCCGCTTCTCTGTGGAGAGTGGCTGTGGATCACACGTCAGCCCCTGATTTCATCCGCAGGTGCGATCCGGAACCATCTTTGACAACTTCCTAATCACAGACGACGAAGAGTACGCTGAGAATTTTGGGAAGGCCACCTGGGGCGAAACCAAGGTACAGTATTCAGCACACACACACACCCTACCCACTTGTTTTTCATCAGTTATTGTTGTTAGGTGCCATCGAGTCAGTACCGACTCATAGCGACCCTATGCACAACAGAATGAAACATTGCCTGATCCTGGGCCAACCTCACAATTGTTGCCACGCTTGAGCCCATTGATGCTGCCACTTTGCCAATCCATCTCACTGGGGGTCGTCCTCTTTTTCTCTGACCCTGCACCCTACCAAACATGATATCCTTCTCTAGCAACTGGTCCCTCCAGACATGTTACTTTTGTCTTTTTCATTAATCTTTTGAGTTTTAACATTTAGGAAAAGGCGTCCCTGAGTGGCACAAGCAGTTAAGCACTCGCCTACTAACCAAGTGGTTGGAGGTTCGAACACACCCAGGTGCGCCTTGGGAGACAGGCTTGGCAATCTGCTTCTGAACGCCTACAGCCTTGAAGCCCTGTGGATAGATACCTGGGGTCCCCATGAGTCAGAGTTGACTTAATGGCAGCTAACAACAACAGCAATATTGAGGAAAGGGCTTGATAAATTTTCATCAACATCCAGAGGTATCTCAGAAGAAAGCTCTGGCAATCTATTTCCAAAAGATGAGAGAATCTTGCAAACTGTATGGAGCACAGTTCTCCTCTGACGCACAGGGTCGTCATGAGTTGGAATCCACCTGATAGCAATTAACAGCAGCAACATGTAGGAATGGGCTTAGTGACCTTTTACCAGTGACTGTCCAGATACCCGGCAGTGCCTGGGAAGACAACCCTGGTAATCTACTTCTGAGATATCAGTCACTGAAAACCCTGTAAAGTACAGTTCTACTCTGACACACAAACACGGAGTCTCCATGAGTTGGAGTTGACAGCAACTGGCTTTAAAAAAAAACGAGAGACATTGAAGGCCCACCCAGGTAACACAGGATCAGCTCTTCATCCCAGAATCCTGTACCTCATCCCACCTGTAAAGACCCTTTTTCCATCTAAATCACACATGCAAAGTCTGGGGATTAGGATTTGTCATCTCTGGGGTACATGATCCAGCAGACATGGGAGGGGGAAAGCAGGGCAGCTGCGGGCTGGTAACACCCTGGTTCTCTCCAGGGTCCAGAGCGGGAGATGGACTCCATCCAGGCCAAGGAGGAGATCAGAAAGGCTGAGGAGGAGGAAGAGCAGGAAATGCTAGATGGAAAGTCTAAAGGGCAGCAAAATTTCTTCAGTCGATTCCACAAGCAAGATGAATTATAATCTTTGAATGATCAGTAAAGGTATCTGGTGACACCTCGTTTCTCCTTTAATTTAAAAGCTCCCGTGTCTGCACAGTCACATGTCTGGTTTTCTCTGATCTGCCCTATGAGTGTGTCTCAGAGGGGCTAGTACCCACTGTGTACCCTCTCGTGTTCTGGCCATCAACACATGTACCAGAACCCAAGGCCCTGCCAGGGGTCTGGCTGGAAACTCGGTGGATGATGCATTTTTAATGCTTGAAATGTTTTGTTTTGTTTAAATAAAAATAGATAAAGCATACCTGTTTGGTTGTGAGTCATAAACAAAGTCCATTCCCCAGGGGACATATGTTGCTGTCTGTCTTCGGCACCAAAGTGTTTATGCACTGGCTCTTTTAGCAAATGTGGGACCTGGAACAAATTTTGTGTTTGTTGTTAGGTGCCACCGAGTCTGTACCGACCCATAGCGACCTTATGCACAGCAGAATGACACATTGCCCAATCTTGGCCCCAACCTCACTACTGTTGCCACGCTTGAGTCTGCTGATGATGCCAATTGGCCAATCCATCTTTTTGGAGGTATTCCTCTTTTTCTCTGACCCTTCACCTTACCAAACATGGTATCCTTCTCCAGTGACTGGTCCCTCCTGACAATATGTCCAAAAGTATGAGAGACAAAGTTTGGCCATCCTGGCCTCCAAGGAGCACTCTGGCTGTACTTCTTCAAAAATGGATCTATTGGTTCTTTTGGCGGCCCATGGCACTTTCAATATTCTCCTCCAACACTGTAACTCAAAGGCATCAATTCTTCTACAGTCTTCCTTATACACTGTCCAGCTTTCACATGC